TCCTCAGGATTAATAAATCTTTTATTTGTAAAATTAAAAAAAAAAAAAAAAAATCACATATGGAGAAAAAAAATGGTGGCATTTCATTTTTAGAAAAATACATTATATCATAAAAATATAAAATGGAATCATGAACTGGCAATGGTCAATGAAAAACTTCTGATATGGGTTGCAAGATTTCAAAATGGCAGATTCAATTGTTGACCAAGTTTAAGATGTTCATTAAAGAGGGATGAGTAAGCCATAAAAATCATTGACAAAAAAAGTTAACTACTTTAGACAAAAGATCATCACTCAAACTTTAAATGTTTACTTGATCATATATTATTTTGACTGTGCGACACAACAGAACCCAGCCATCATTAGAACACATGCAAAGTGAAGTGGGCTATAAATGATTTTATTTGAGTATGAAATGTCTAATAATTTTATGACTAGCAGTAAAGTCTACGATGTAAGATCTTCAAAGTGGCAAGGAATAAAATAGGTAAATAAATGAAAACATTTTTGAAGTTAGAAAGTTCTGCTCGCAGAAGTTAGTTGGAGGGGGTTACAGTTCCAGGCCACTGACCAAAAAAGAGTTTTGAGCTATGCGTCCCAATGTAGAAATAGTCAGATTGGTGATAGGAGAATTGGAATTCTCACTGGCCTAAGAAAAAAGCTTGTACAACATTTGTAGCAGATGTTGTGCAAAGTGTCCCCTATCTACCTTACAGACTGTGCAAGTGAATCTCTGAATAAACAATTCAATATATAGGAATCAGGATTTGTGTTTTTTATTTACTGCCATGACAATATATTGACCTTTTTTTCTTGTGAGCATGTGACAAGCCTTTCTCAGGACTGAGAGGGAATGATTGAATGTTTACAATTGTATGGCATTAATGGCAATAAAAATCCTGACCAATGTTTGTCTTGGCAAATCTTTCTCTTTGAGGTATAGGGGGCAACTAGAAACTATTAATAAATTCATCACATATTTTACCACAAGAAAATCTCTGTTTATATTTCCGAGATGAGCTATTGTAACTATTTACATTATTTACATTGTTTGAACTGTTGTCCTCTTCTTTATTGTCATATTCATGAGGTTTGTTCCTTAACACACAGCCCAGTGGATAAAAGCATTGGTTGAAGTAATCCAGTGACTTGACTCAAAGAGTTGTGAGTTCAATACTTGGCCACAGCAGAGGTGAACAAAAACATGGAGAGTTAACTTACTAAAGGAAAATAACTGAAACTGAGATGTCCAGAAAAGGCATGGCATGTGGAACGAGAACAATCTACCTGGAGCACAGAATGGCTGAAACGTTGTGAATGATAATAAAATGAGACCAACAGTCCGAACAATGTAAATAATGTGAACAAGAAAATCTTAAACTATTCTTTTCACAATAAAGGCACATAATCTTTATACATTAAATTTTCCAACTCAAAGAGTTTAAAAAACATTTTTAAGTTTGTGAGTGTACAAAGATGACATGGCAGCAAATACCACCATGTAGGAGGGTTATATTTCATCACTTCAGACTATGGTCATTTTGACTGGCACAAACAGTGGCCATGTGACTGAGTGGCTTGAATGTTAGCATTCTGATCATTAGATCTTGGTTCAAATCTCATCATGGTTGATTTGTCAAGGAGATGACGTCTTGATAATGTTCATCTGGAGGGCTGATCCCAGCAAGAAGCATCATCTGGAAGTATTTGAAAACCATACCACAAGTTGACCCAAGTCTTGTGAGTGAAACTGGGTAAAAAGAACTGTTCAGGAATCAGTGATAGTTGTGCTAGCATGAAATCTTAAATCATTGTGACCGAGGATTTGAATGTACTGGCCTTGTTCAAAAAAGTGAACCCACCAGATTATACACTTACTCCCAGAAACTGTACCTAATGTCTGCTCAGCATAGTATAAACCCTGGGTGGGCTCAGTAAGTGTTGAAGAAATGCCAATGAGCCAGATTAGACGTTTGCAACAGGGATTAGCTATTTACCTTAGATGGATATACCTAAATAAGAACAGCCAACCATACGGATTCAAAACTTATAATTGATTGAGAAATCCGCAAAAAATAATCAAGTACATATGTGGAGAAGGAGGGAGGTAGATATATTTTACTACAGAAAAATATGAAGAAAATGACAAAAATGTGACTGTGAAGATTTTTATAAAAGATTCAGCAGCCAAAATTGTATGGAAGGTGAGCATTTCTTTACAATGAGAGTATAAATAAAAAACATACGTTTTAATTTCAGAATTTAGACAAACAGCAAAAAAATATCTTAGCCAAAAATAAATTATCACCCCAGGGGATTTTTCTTATTTTTGTTGTCATTCACAATTCTTCATAATTGTTTTATTGATTTTAATGTCAGAAAAAAAAAATTCAAATGGTCATTTTTGACTATTTACATTTTAGAATATTCAGTTTTATTTATCATTGCACAAAACAATTTTCATGATTCCAAGCGAATGATGTAAAAAATTTAGTTGCATAAAAGTTCTACATAAAAAATACACCCAAAAAGATTAACTGATCCTTCAAGGCCGTCAAAAACTTTGGCATTTCCAGCGTAAAGAAGAAATAATTCAGGATCATTGTAAATGAAACATCCAATATAAAAAACAGAAAAAAAAACACATTTCTTACAAATGCTAATACAAATCATACAATTTTTCTTGTCTTTTAGAGATTTACTAAGCTAAGTCTGGCACAAGGTCAATCATATTCTTTCTTTAGCAGCATATTAACACTTCTATTGGTTATTTAATGCCAAAATCTAAATAGTTTGTCAACAGTTTTATTTATTTTTTATTGGAGATAATAATGATTTTAGTGAAACAAGTCTTACCAATTAACCCATAGCTTGGGGTAAAAGAGTTGGATTCATATCTTTCCCACGGGTATTTTAGCATAAGTGAATATAATGAACCGAACTCGACTCTCCAATTAACAATTCCGAGCTATTATCCATTACAATGCTCACATATCCAAGCTTATAACACATGGTATTCGCAAGCGGTCACCCATCTATATACCGACCAAGCTTGACATTGCTTAACTTCAGTGATTGTGTGAGAACTGGCGTTTCAATGTGATATAGCTGTAGTCTTTAATCATATTAATTATGTAAAAAAAATTAGCCATAAATACTTTCTTTTAAACACTTAAAGCTTTATGCATCTATAAGCCAAAGTTTTGGAAATAATATCTTGAATTTTATTATTATTATGCATTAACAATTTGGGATGTGCGTTGGGGTGCAATGGAGAGAGTGGCTCACAGTGATAAATCAGAGGACTGAGTTCAAATTCTAGTCGAGTTCATTGCATTCACTTATGCACAAATACCCTTGAGAAAGAGATCAATCCATCTCCCTCCCAGCTATGAATAGCAGGACGAACTGTGTCCTGTAGCCTTAGTTGGTAACCAGTCTCCCACAGAAAGAAATGGTAATCTACTGTGCAAAAATCTTCAGCTTCAGTCACAAATTGAAGGAGATATAATCACCCAAGTGTGTATCATGTATGGCACTTAACTGACTGGAAAATTATTAATTTTTGATGAGTATTTCTTTTGGATTAATGTCAATTGATCAGGAGTAAAGAATAAGCACTTGGTGAGACTCTTTTTCTTCAAGAAGTTTATCTATGGACAACAGATGCTAGACCGTTTGACCTATGACAACCAATGGTTGTTGAAAAGAGACTCAAACCACAGATTTATTCCTCTTTCCTACCAAATGTTCTATTTCATGTTTTTTGCACATACTTGTATTAGCCGTAAAATTATTTAAAATTTTATTATAATTAGATGAAGTATTGTCAATCATTATTATTAGGTGTGTGCAAAAGTTTCCAGTAAAAGACTGTGTATTCAGTCTGTAGTTGAAAAAGAAAAAAAAGAAAACTGTGACAAAAGTACTAGGGAATTTTGTCCTCACCTAATAATTCTTGACAAGTATTTCTTACAGATTAATTCCAGTTGTTTTTCACAATGGTCTGAGTAGTTGTATAAGTCAATTGAAATCTTGGTAATGAATTCAGTTTTTATTATTCTAAAGTAGTGATTACGTGTACCACGAAATATTGTCAAACTTTGAAGAAATCGCGGAAAAACACTAGGCACACAGGTTTTACACTAAATAAGCTTCCGAAATAGTTGAATAGAAACATTGAAATAATAAGTTCATATTTGTATGGGTACTGTTTTTAAAAATCTATGGTTCTATTTCATAACATTTAAATGTATACCCTTTAAGAATTTTGCTAAGTGTGCCATGATATTTTCATTTGCTCCTAGGTGTGCCGTTGTTTAAAAAGGTTGAGAAACGCTGTTCTAGAGTGAAAAACAAATGAAGATTTTAAAATGGGGGGAAAAAAACTCATCTAAAGAAATTGTATTTTAATATATTTCATTAACATTACAATGAAACAGATGAATTTCTTCTGAGTCAGAGGAAGCCAGAAAATAAATGAAGCAACAGTTATAGAAGTGTGTGCATGGGTGTTGTGCGTGTGCATGAGACAAATATCTCCAAGATAATGATTGAATTACAAAAATATCAAATAAAGAACACTTTTACTTTTCTAAGCTGCCTTTGATTATTGGTGATTCTTCAAAGTTTTACAAATTTATTCTATAATTCTTTATTTATAAGAAACCATCTGATATCACAGCTAAGATTTATTACATTATATGAAAACCTTATTTCATTCTAATGATAACATGTACAATAAAAGTGCATGTTGGACATAAGCAGGTGCCAAACTTTTCAAAGTATGTTTTACATATGAACGCACCTTGAATATCAATTTACTTTGATTATTCAAATTAAAGTTCTCATCTTTTATTGTTATAAATGTTATTATTATAGACATAACATTTTGGCTAATTACTCTCTGGCCATCTTCAGCTTGGCTATATGATTGATTATTATGTGTTGATTATGGTTTTATTTTTATATCTATATCTGTGATGCTGAGGCTTATGGCTGTTATCACACCAGTTCCTGTATGATCACTAAAGTTGAGCAATGTTGAGCCTGGTTAGTACATAGATGGGTGACTGCTTGGAAATACCAGGTACTGTAAGCTTAAATGTGCAGGTGGTGTAATGGATAATGGCTCAGAATTGTTAACCCACAGCTGGGGGGTGGGAAGAAGAGGTGTAACCATACCTTTCCCAAGGGAATTTCCACATAAGTGAATATAATGAACCCAACTGAAATTGTAACTCAGCTCTCCAATTAAAAATTCCAAGTCATTATCCATTACACATATAAGGTGCTATATGTGCAGGTTGTGTAACCTGCGCATATAGCACCTTATATTCCCAAACAGTCACCCGTCTAGATACTGACCAGGTTCAACATTGCTTAACTTTGGTGATCCTATGGTAATCGGTGCTTCAATGTGATATGGCTATGAGTTTTAATATTTTTGCCTTAATCATTGCTTATCACTTTTCAATTTAGTTTCAGGTCAGTGTCGAGTCAAGCTGAGGCCTGCTACGGGTAACATTTCACCCAGTGCAACCTGCTGCATGGATGAGTAGTTGGCATATCACCCCATAGGATGAAAAACAAAGGTTGCATGAGCTTTTTACAAGAGCCAACAACCAACATGTATGTATATGTGTATGTGTGTGTGTGTGTGTATATATATATATATATATATATATATATATATATATATATATAAGCATGAATTACATACCCAGACCTAACCTCTAACCTACATTTTTTCACTTTTCTACTTTACTTAGATCTGTCTTTGGATTTGTCAAATAAGACAACATCCATAAAAAATATATTTAAATCTTATTCCCCCTCCTACTTAAACTCTTCAATATAATACTGCTTTGCTTTCAAAAGTAAATCATTTTTTCTAAAGTTACTGAATATCACTTGAAAATGGAACAATAATTTTAAGTTCTGAAACATTGAAATTTCTGTTGCGAAGAAAAAAATATTATAAAATTATGCTCTACTCTGTATTGAGCTTCTTTTTTTAAAAAAGCTAAAGAATTGTAGATTATTAATCTGACTGTTCTTTCTTTTTATTTTGATATATATGTGTGTGTGTATGTATTTTAAAAATGATGGAGTGCATTCTTTTTCTTTTAAGAATTTCTTAAACTGTTTCTTGGCTCAAATGAAATTTAACTTATACCAGAAATGCACAGTGTGACTTAATTCATTAACAACATTTCTATTATAAGTTAAATTCAATTTGAGCCAAGAAATGATTCAAGAAAAAGAATGCATTCCATCATTTTTAAAACAATATATAAATCCTGTGGTATAAAAGTTTTGTTCAAAAATATTTATCTAAGGCTAGGATGGAGTCTCAAGGCTTGAATGCCAGCCTTCCTAAATAGTGTCGCCATAAGAACACTTGGTGTACTTGGACTATCATGAGTGTCTGAGTTGGGTGTCAGGAAGAGTATCCTGCCTTGTAAAACCTTGCCTCAACAAATAAAACACAGCTATGTATGTATATATCTATATTTCTAAATTATTTTCAAAATGTCTCAATGAAATTATCAGTATCATCTCGATTCTGTGCATACATCTAATTTCTGCTTGAAAGAAATAAAAAAAATGCTATTATTAAGGAATTATTGCATTATTCAATCAAAGAAACTTGTGAACATCTTTCACAGATTTGTTTGGAAAGTAAGAAAAAACAAATCAATCATAACACTTGAAAGTAGGATTTGATGATTTAACGATAGACTGATGTATTTTTTACCTCGTTGTTTTAATAATTGTGTGTTAATGAAAACATTACTGAAAGAATAAGGCTACTATAAATATAATGCAAATATATTGCTAATGATTTGACGAGACATAGTGCGATGGGTAAATTGTCGCCATTTTATATTTTTAATCTTCAGCATGCACATTGTTTGTTTTTGATTTTGCCAACTACACTGTATAGTAGGGTCAGTTGGGCATCATCTGTGAGAAAAAGAGCAACATGACACAATTCATTCACTCTGCCAGAAATTTGGAAATTGCATGCTGTACTACTTGGAATTTGCACCAAAAGCTCCAATACAAATATTTCACAGTGAGGAAAGTGCAGAGGATTCAAAAAAGTTGGAGGAGTTTAATGGTGATTACGAAAGTACAGCAACAACTCACTCTAATCATTCTGATAAGAAAAGAACTCCCGAATTTGTTGGTGAGGTCCTCAGACTCAACATGAAGGCCTACATCAACTGCCTTGAGGTGGTAGTGCTGCCCTGGCTCAAGAGGGTGGCTGCTGGAAGACTACGTCTGGCAACAGGACTCTGCACCATGATACACAAGCAGGTGTACCCAGTCATGGTTGTCAGACAATTTCTGCAACCACATCACCCCTCACATTTGGCCACGTAACTCCCCAGACTGCAACTCCCTTGATTATTATGTATGGAGTGCAGTTGACCAAGAGACCAACAAAACTCCATTTAACACCAAAGATGAACTCGAGGCAAGGATTATGGCAGCATTGACAAACTTAAACAAGGAGACTGTCCAGAAGGGTTGCAGGAGATTCCAAAGTCATCTGGAGGCCATGGTTGAAGCCAATGGCGATTTTATTGAATGAATTTATTCTTTAGTATTTCAAGATATTTTTGTGTAATTTTGGTAAATATATCTATTAAAATGTGATGTCAGTATTATATTAATTTTTGTGTCATTTACACGACAATTTATCCATCGCACACTGTAGAAATTGATTTAAAATTAGGAAAAAAGAAATGGATTGTTAGTAGCTATGAATTAATGCAAGTATCATTGACAGAATGGGATGATATATAACGGCACTTTGTACCTGAATGCTGGAAAAGAAAAAAAAAAAAAAAAAAATAATGATTTTTTTTTTTTATCTCTACAACTTCCCTGAATGTCATTTTCAACTGAAGATGATTTTTCAATTTTTAATGTCAAAATTTGTAGAATTCATTAAAAAAAAAAAAAAAAAAAAAAAAATCATGTTTTGCAAAATTGCCAACCTGAGTATATGCAATAAAATGTCAATTTTTGTCCAATCTGTGACCAGATGTCTATTTCATTGATTTGTCATGAACTGCTCCCCGTACAGGATATCATTTGTATTTTGCCATTTCTGTATCACTCACTGGGTCACTGTTTTTTCCTCCAGGGTAATAATAATCAAGAAGTCATCATCCAAAGTTTACAAGGCCAGGAGGGAGTAGCAAACATTTGAGCCTTCACTATTTCTTGACCTGTTCTACCCACTTTGGGAGCAGGGGTCTAACTTGTTTGATTCTGAAATTCTCTCTGCTTCACTTTATTGTGATTTATGCAGGTACTACTCTTATATGGGCACATGACTGAGTGGTTAGAACGTTTGCATTCTGACCATGAAACCAGAGTTTGAATTTCACCATAGTTGATTTGTCAGGAAGGAGACTTCCTGATCTTATTGGACTGGAGGGGTCAATCCAAGTGTGTGGCAAATTGGAAATTTTTGAAAACTTTGGAAAGTGCCTGAAAACCATACCATGGGTTGACCCAAGCCTTGTGTGTGAAATTGGGTAGACAGAACCCTTGGGGGTCATCGATAGCTGTGCTAGCACAAAGTCACAAGTCATTGTGGCCAAGAGCTTGAGCATGCTGGCCTTGTTCAAATTGTTGATCACACTAGATAACACGCTCACTCCCAGTAACTGTAACTAAGGTCTTCTCAGCATAGTTGCAGTATAAACCACAGGTGTGCTCTGTGGGTGTTGAATAAACACAAATGCACCTGAGTAAGCATCTGAAATAGGGATTGGCTAGCTGCCCTAGTAGGCAGGTCTCCTCGAATACAAGTGAGCAGCTATACATACTGTTATTAAACCTTGCAACAAGTTGTTGGTCACAAATGAAGCACATTTTTAAAAGTGAATAAAGGTTTATGGATAGCAGAAGTGCCATAAACTTGTCATTTTCATTTCTCAAAATAACAACCAATTCATTACAATCTGTTTGGAGAAAATTAAATTCTACTTCATTTCCGATATTTGTTAATGTCTGAAAACTTTTTTCTTCTAATCAAAAGTTAATTTTTTTTATTTTTTCAAATCTCAGCAGTTTTTAGAAATTCTGGCAAATAAAAAAAAAAGCAGTAAGTATTTATCTGATGTAAACACAGTTGACAAACTAGAAAAACAAATTTTAGATTAAGATGAGAAGAGCAACTCTTGGCAAATACCCCAAGTAGTATTGTACAAGGCTTTTTTAAAAGAAAAAAAAAAAAAAAAAAGGAGCAATCAGTGATATTGATCTCTGATGAATAACCAGATTCAATTAACTTTCATAAGATTTCCAGTTGAAGATATATCACATTTCAAAAATAGAAATTCTTGTTTTTGAGAGAGAAGGGAGAAGAGGCATGGATGAGTAAAATGTTGAGAGAGAATCAGGTCTAAAAAACATGGATTTTCATGCTCCATAAATTGGTTAAATTAATATTCTCATCCTTCTTTTAGCAAGAATCACCAGGTACCAATTCCAAATGAATAGGTGAAGTTAAGAAAATAAAAAGGATGAAAAGTTTAAACAACTTGTTGAATAATGAAAAGAATTCTTCTCTGCTTTCCCTAACTCACTAAACAGAATGCTTCTCCTCACCCCCCATCCACTTTATAAATGCTGTGCTTGTATCTGCATCACTCATGTATATGTAAGTTTCTTCACAGAAGTAAAGCCATTTTGCTGAATCAGGTTGGAGTTTGGAATCAAATAAGGGGAGCAGCCAGTTAAATAAGTCGATGTATGTGATGGCAGGATTTGGCTGGAGAAAATATGAAATGTGCTTTAAAATAAATTCAGAAAATGTAATTTTAAAACAAAAATTGGTTAAAAAGAGTTTCATAGTCTTGCAAAGAATGCTACATTTTTTTAGTTCCATTTCTATTTCCTTGGTAGGATTTCCAATTATTTACACTAATTACATTGTTCGGATTGATGTGCTCATCTTTGTTGCCATATTCATAATGTTTCAGCTGTTGTACTCTCTAGCCTTCTTCAGGTGGTTGAAATTTCAAATTGAACCCTTTATTTTGTCCACGGGGGTAGATTTTTCTAGTTCCACATGCCATGCCTCTTCTGGATGTCTCAGTTATATCCTTTTAACTCAGCTCTCCAAGTATTCATTCACCTTAGCTGTAGCCAGGTACTGAACTCACAACTCTTTGGGTCAAGTCACTGGATTCAACCACTGCTTTTATCCACTGGACCATATGTCCTTGGAACTAGAACAATCTACCCTAGTGGATGAAATAAAGGGTTCAGTTTGAAATTCCAATCACCTGAAGAAGGCCAGAGTGTACAATAGCCAAAAAATTGTGAATTTGGCAACAAAGATGAGGATAACAGTCCGAACAATGTAAATAGTATAAATAATTACAATACCTCATCTCAGAAATATAGGCAGATATTGAAGGATTTCTAATTGCTGACCACAATTAATAATCTGGCTACATGTTTCTTATCATTCTCGAAAAAAGAATTATTGTCAGAACCTGTTTTGGATTTATTCCATGAATTATTCCTTTAACATTCCTTTAACCCTTAATGAATATTTCTGAGATTATAAGGTCAAAGGTCAAATATTAATCATTATTCACATCATGCAGACCAATATCTCTTCAATGTTGTTCTGATCATTACATTTTGGCTGGTATTCTCATTTTCTTCCCTGAAGTATTTTGTGATTTATTCAAACTAATTCGACCTTCCTGGCATAGGAGCATCCAAAGGGGACTGAGACTTTTGAATCCAACTGTCAATATGAAGAGGATGTGCAACGTGCTGTCAGGAGAGCTGGACTTGCCCAGCTGCATCCATCACAAACACTCTTCTGAGACTCCTGCTAACAACACTTCAGGAGTAGACTGGGCCTTCACACCCATCTCTGTCACCGCCACCAGAGGGAAGAAATGGAATAAGGAGAGAGGATGATGATCCTGATGCTCGGAAGCGAGTATGTGCCAACAAGTGATTCAGACTAGTATCCTTATCTTTGTTGTTTCATTTATGAGATTTTCATTGGTGCATTTGCTAACTGCCCAGTATATTGTCTGAAGTTTTGATATAAATTACTGTCATTACTAGAGAAAATATTTGAACTTCAAGTATAAACATATTAAATAGAATTGCTTACATTGTCTATTGAGAAGTAGCATTAACATATCCAGTCTTATTCAGGTGCTCAAATCTCATTTCCACTGTTCTACTGATTCCATATCTTCAAGAGATCAGTTCATCTGATCACTCCAGGAAGCACCTGACTCTTCCTGCCATAGTTTATTTTTACAAGAGTCAGATTGGATTAAAAATGAAGTATCACTGTCATATTTGCATAGTCCTCACTTTTCAGTCTCGATATAGTTTAAAATTGTTTATAATTTATTTTAAATCTTAGGGAAGGCTTACTTTCCACTCTACAACATCTTTCCTACAAATGCAATGTTGTAAGTTTATCATTACTTTATTGCTATTTCAATGGTAAATGTTCAGATGAGCACTCCATTCTTTAATTCCACCAGTTGAGACATTTACAACTAGGACACACCATATCCACTTCCACCGAGTCAAATCACCCTCATTTCCCCTGTGTTCCAAAAGTAAGAAGTTCCATTCACCTTTTTACCAAGGATTGCCACTTTGTGGAACAGACTCACACATGGGTGGTTCCGGAATACTTAGTCTTATGACCATATCACGTTGAAACATTGGTTCCTATATTATCACTGAAGTTAAGCAACGTTGAGCCTGGTCAGTAGCTAGAAGGGTGACCACTTGGGAATACCAGGTGCTATATGCTTGGATGTGTGGGTGATAATGGAAGAGCTGACTTCCAATTAAAGTTGGTTTTGTTGTATTCACTTATGTGCAAATACCTTGGGGAAGTTATAAATCCACATCTTCTCTCCCAGCTATGGGTTAAATAGTAACACTTGTATCACTAAATTATTATTATCTTAAAAAAAGAATGTTCTTACAATCTAAAAATATTTTCTGGCTCTAAATAACCTACAAAGGGTTTATAACCCATAGAAAACTAATCAATCAATCAAATACTGATTAGCTACACAGATTTTGTTACATTGGCTGAGAGCTGAGTTCCAATTCCCGTTGGGTTTGTTACGTGCAAATACCTTTGGGAAATGCATGAAACCACTTCTTCTCCCCCAGCTATGGGTTAATTAGTAAGACATATCACTAAATCATTATTATCTGAAAAAACAACAAATTGTCAAACAGTACTTTTAAGATGTAGACTAACTTTTAAAAATTACAAGGAGCTACTTTCCACCTAAATTTGCTTCTCTACTTACTGACCTAATGTGTCATTTCATGTCGCTGCCGAATACTATTTTCTGAAAAAGCCTTTCCACAAACTTTACACTTGTATGGTTTCTCTCCAGTGTGTGTTCTCATATGTCTATTTTGAGTACTTTTATCAAAATATGATTTTCCACAGACTTCACACTTGTATGGCTTTTCACCAGTGTGAGTTCTCATGTGTCCATGCAAATTAGTTGTCCGTGAGAAAGCTTTTCCACATAGTTCACATACCTTGGTTTTCTCTCCTGTATGAGTTCTCACATGCCGATGTAAATGACTATTATCAGAAAAAGCCCTTCCACAAATCTCACATTCATATGGTTTCTCCCCTGTGTGTGTCCTCAAGTGTCTGTTCCAAGTACTCCTATCAGAATAAGCTTTTCCACAAATTTGACACTTATAAGGTTTTTCTCCTGTGTGAGTCCGCATATGAATTATTAGATTTCCTTTCAAAGAGAAAGCTTTTTCACAAATGTCACACATGAATGGTTTCTCTCCTGTGTGAGTTCGCATGTGCTTTACCAAATTACTATTTAAGGAAAAGGATTTTTCACAGACTTCACATTTGTGAGGTTTTGCATTCATTGCATCATTATTAAACAAAGAAATATTCCATGGTTGATGTTTCAGATGCACTTCATTTTGGAAGAATTCCCTTTCAAGATGTATTATTTCATGTGCTTTTAAAGAAGAATCATCCAAGAAGAAACATCCACACATCTTGCAAGAGAACTGTGATGCCCCAGTGCATTTCTGATTCAAATCAGACATTGTATTTTTAGGCCCTGATTTACTCTCCATGTGAGATTTCCAATGGAAAAGCAACTGGTACTTGTCAAGGAAACTTTCTCCACACAAATCACAAACATATGACGTATCTTTTATATGGGTTTGCATATGTGCATTGTAATGAGACTTACGAGAGAATGATTTTCCACAAACCTCACAAGTGTATGGTTTTTCTCCTGTATGTATTCTCATATGCCTATTCAAATGGCTATTATCAGAGAAAGCTTTTTCACAGATCTCACACTGATATGGTTTTTCTCCAGTATGTATTCTTATATGCCTTCTCAAAGATCCATTTTCTGAGAAGGCTTTTCCACATATTTCACATATGTATGGTTTCTCTCCTGTGTGTGTTCTGATATGACTTTCCAATTCCCTACTTTGTGGGAAAGATTTCCCACATACTTCACAAATGTATGGTTTCTCTCCTTGGTGCTTACTTTGATGTACGAGAAGCAAATTCTTCTTTGGAAAAGATTTTCCACAAATTTTACACTGATGAAGATTTTCTTTTGTGTAACATTTAAGTGGTTCTTGGCAGTTTTCATTTCCTGAAAAACCATTCTCATCCAATTCAAAACGAAACTGTCTTTTTTCAGAAGGGGAATTCATCTTGTATTTTTCAAGAACAGTTGTGGTTGCTATTGGCTGGAGTCTGAAAATAGATAAATATTACAAAATTAATTTGCATTTTATAACTTAGACCATATATACATTAATGCAATTATATCTTACATCTATATCATTTTCAATTTAAGTTATATGGAGTTTATATTTATAAAGCTAAAAACAACAAACTGCAAAGAAGAATACTTTTTAATCAAAATTATAAGAGACGGTTATATAAGTTTCAATTTGAAAAATGAATGAATTATTTCTATGTTTCTTGAAAGAAGTAGTGATACATAACGATAATTAACTTAAGCAAATAAATTACAAAAGATTTAGAAAGTTGGTTCCAGTCACTGATAGAATGACTGCAGAAAATTTATAGACAAATCAAACAGATGTATGCTGGGATTTCTTCCTAGCCAATAAGATTGGTCACTTCTTGGTCTTATATGCCATATTTTTGTTCTTTCTTGCCTTGAAGTCCGAATGCTACAATCACATGAATATATCCCTTTTGTGTGTTAACACAATACTTGCTTTGTGAACTGTTTTGCCTTATTACTGTTACTTTGCATAGTTTTGTCTTGTATATATATTGTTTTGTTTAGTATTATTTTATTGATTTTTTTTTATTATTCTTTATTGGAAACTTTGTCAATTCTGTTTGCTGTGCATTTTTGCCACTTGCACTCAACTATGGCCAATTATTCTAACAATAATTATAATCTGATAAGGAGTTGAATTATGTATTTTAAAACTAGAAGAAAAAGCAAACAAACATTTAATTGAAAATGTCAGCATGATTAACATTTAACCTTTCACTATCTTCTGAATCCTTACATTAGTTTATATGTGTCAAAGTAAAAGATATGTAAGTGTGATAATACCAGACACAATTTTTACATAAATGATGTACTCAGGAACCAGAAATCAATGCTCTACTCTAACATGAGTAAATGGTTTAAATGCTACATATAGTGGGAAAGAAAAGATTCTATTTAAAGATTCTGAAAATTACAGTAGGGGATAAACAACTGAAGAAGGCTGGAGAAAATATTGGGAGAAATTTTGTGATTAAAATAACGTACAAAATAGAATAATTCATAGAATAAATTTCAAGGAAGTTCTGATACTAATTATCTCTCTTAGAATCATATATTAGAACACAACAGATACTTGAGACAGACAATAGGGAACCTGGCTGAAACAATATTGAGAGAAAAAAAAACAAATAACAAAGAGGAAACATTTCATTCAGAGAGACTAAATGACAATAGAATTCTTTCCTGTCTGAAAATTATGTAAATTAATTAAAAAGCTGCCATCAGAAGGATTAAATGAGTATGAAAGACTTGCATAAAAGTAAAGTCTTGACAATGATGCTACATATTTGTTAAATAGGACAAAAGATGACGGTTACAAAAGAAACCGTAGGGATGGAATAAATCTATGATAATGTCATTTTTCTTTATTTTAATAATGAGTTTTGTTAGACTTGATTTTTTTCATTTATGTTCTGAAGATATTGCATCAAATGAAAGAATAAAAAGAATGTGAGATTTCTTCCCCCATTTTAAATACAGTGTGTTTCACAATTTATTGAAACAAAATGATCAGGCACAAATCAAGGACCACAAATGACAGAGTAATGGAAATTACATTTATTGAAAGGTAAAAGGATAACATTTTAGAATCTGCAACTATTTAATCTCAAACATGAACCAAAAATGTCAAGAGGAGCCCTAGAATACATGCTTCAGATGTCCGCTGTTCAGTTGAAGGCACTGTTTAATGCAAAGTTGTTGATAACGTATACACATTCCTTCTGAACGATTTCTGCCTTCAATGCAACAATGGTACAAGGGCTGCCCTGGTAGATGTCCTTGAGGAACCCCAAGAGGGAGAAATCTGAGGGATTTAGGTCAAATGAGTGAGGTGCCTATTCCACTTCATCTTTGCAGCTGGTGAGATGCTCCCCAAACTTTTCACAGAGCTATGCCATGTTAACATTAGCAGTGTGAGGAGGAGCACCATCCTGCTGGAACCACTGTTCCTCACTATCAAGGTCCTCACACTCCTTGTGCTCTCCCCATCTTAGAGGCCAATGCTTTGTTTCAACAATTGTGAAAGATCACTGCACTGTTGACTGGATGAATTTTTGTAAGGAGAAAATTTGTACAACATATAAAACATGTCATAATGGATTTGGAACACTAGTATTCCAAGATTTGTTTAGATTATTGTGCTCACAATATTTTATGCTGTAAGCGTAATTTTTGTTTCAGCTAAGCTATTCTACAGCCTTCTTAAGACATACAACCTCTAAGGAAAAAAGAATTCTCTTGATTTTTTTTCACACAAGTGAATGAAAAAAGAAAAAGATAGCTAGTAAATCTCAACCAGCTTAGCTCATTCCCAGCAACATGAGCCAGACAAATACCATTCTCAGCAACTAGAGTTAGTATGGATGATTTCACATACATGAAGATGATCACCAATTTCTTACCTACCAAACAGAATAAAAAAGGCAATATATCATGCTGAAATCTAGCCTGGCTTTCTAAAAAGCATCACTGAGCTTCTTGCAACTTTCTCACTCACCAACTGTGATTCCTGTCAAATATTTGAACCTCATTCCAAAATGATTCATGTGTATCCTTCTCTCGTCAAATATGGTCTGCCATAGAAAAAGAATTTTCTTCCCCCCTTCAGATATGATTTTTTTATATTCCGCAATTCTAACTTTAAGAAGACAGATTATTTTTTTGCTTATGTTAGTTCCCCTTTTGCATGAATATATGTTTTCTACCTCACTATGACTGAAGCAGACAAGTGCCAAGGTCCTATAATGAGAAGGAGTTCTAGAAAGCATTGTAGGTCATGATGGATAAGATAGTTGAAATTGATGGCCCCCTCTTATTAGTTGCATTTGAAGATGTTGCACATGTTTGTTGCCTTACTGGCACTGATTTTCAATTGTATGAAGCAAGGGACATTTTATCAGAAGAGCAGTGAAGTCAATACACAAGTAGAAACATGATGGAAATAAGATTAATAATTTTCCACCCTCA